CTTGGTCCTTTCACTCTTGGCTGCTACTTCCCGGCGGATGTCAGGTGGTGCGATACCGGCTAAGCAGTGTAACTTCTCCAGTGGTGTAGGGCGCAGACACCCCATGATAATGCGGCATGTCTCATTCAGAGCCACATCCTCTATTTTAGCGTGGTGAGATGTGTTCCACACTGGGCATGCATACTCAGCAGCGGAGTAGTACAGCGCAAGAGCAGATGTCTTCACTGTGTCTGGTTGTGATCCCCAGGTTGTGCCAGTCAGTTTTCGTATGATATTGTTTCTAGCAACCAGCATGGAGGTCAGCTGTGACCAGCAGTGCTGCAGAATTTGAAGTGGCAGGAATGGAGGGTGAAAGAGGAGGAAGGCGCGTCATGGGGCCGACCACCTTCCGTCTGGAAACCGATGCCCTCCCTGTGGGAGACGATGCAGGTCAAAAATAGGGCTCCACAGCCACCCACAGACCCACCGCCATGACACCACACTTGGAGGACCATCATCCTCGGACTATGTAAGTCTCACAGACATATAATAACATGCATATGCATGTCTGAAATGCATAGGACAAGATGACATAGCAATCAACCTTCTTTCTCTAACCATCTAATCACCTCTCCACAAAAGATTCCCCCAGGCACTGCCAGGCCATCCAATGCTCACACCTTGCCTCCAATATGTGGGTTTTCTATACATTGTAACTGTATTCTCACATACATATATGAATATACAGATCTGAATACATATATATATATTTCTTATTCTCACCAAGGCAGCTCGTAATGGCCTTTCGGGGCCTTCTCAGGCCCAGGCGCTTCCATGGCAACGTCCGCCATGGCTGCTTCCCGCCGAAACGTCCTCAGGCTCCGCCCCTTCCCGTCGCGTCTGAGCACAACTTCTGGTTGCCATCTTGGTCGTGGGCAATGGGAGGGCCAGAGCGAGGCGGTGTGACGTCAGCGCGGTGGCTTCCTCTGCCCGGACATGGGCGGGGCTTCCCCTCATGGCTGTAAAGCAACCAGATTTCCAACAGATGGCGCGCCTTGAGTGCATTAGAATGAATGAATGCAATATTGATTCCACTTTAGAGCATTGGGTTGCTGTGAGATTTCAGGGCTGTTTGGCCATATTCCAGAAGCATTCTCTCCTGACGTTTCACCCACATTTTTGGCAGGTTGGGATGTCTGTTGGAAACTAGGCAAGTGGGGTTTATATCCCTGTGGAATGATGTCCAGGGTGGGAGAATGAGGCAAGTGTGAATGTTGTCATTGGTCACCTTGATTAGCATTGAATAGATAGCCTTGCAGCTTCCAAGCCTGGCTTCCTCCTTCCTGGGGGACTCCTTTGTTGGGAGGTGTTAGCATAACACACTATTAGTATTATATATTACTATATTGTCCTATACTGTCCTGAGCATAGCACACTGTTAGTATTCTTACTATATTGCCATTGGTCACCTTGATTAGCATTGAATAGCCTTGCAGCTTTCAAGCCTGGCTGCTTCCTTCCTGGGGGACTCCTTTGTTGGGAGATGTTAGCATAGCACACTATTAGTATTATTACTATATTGTCATTGGTCACCTTGACTAGCATTGAATAGCCTTGCAGCTTCCAAGCCTGGCTTCTTCCTTCCTGGGAGAATCCTTTGTTGGGAGGTGTTAGCATAGCACACTATTAGTATTCTTACTATATTGCCACTGGTCACCTTGATTAGCATTGAATAGCCTTGCAGCTTCCAAGCCTGGCTGCTTCCTTCCTGGGGGAATCCTTTGTTGGGAGGTGTTAGCATAGCACACTATTAGTATTTTACTATATTGCCATTGGTCACCTTGATTAGCATCGAATAGCCTTGCAGCTTCCAAGCCTGGCTGCTTCCTTCCTGGGGGAATCCTTTGTTGGGAGGTGTGAGCATAGCACACTATTAGTATTATATATTACTATATTGTCCTATACTGCAATATTATTGGTAATATTACATGTAATATGCAATTATGATATTATATTGCATTATGTTGTATTATATTATAATATTATGATCAATATTATATGTATATACAATATATTATATTATTAGCATAGCGCAATATTAGTATTATTACTACATTGCCATTGGTCACCTTGATTAGCATTGAATAGCCTTGCAGCTTCCAAGCCTGGCTGCTTCCTTTCTGGGGGAATCCTTTGTTGGGAGGTGTTAGCATAGCACACTGTTAGTATTATTACTATATTGCCATTGGTCACCTTGATTAGCATTGAATAGCCTTGCAGCTTCCAAGCCTGGCTTCTTCCTTCCTGGGAGAATCCTTTGTTGGGAGGTGTTAGCATAGCACACTGTTAGTATTATTATTATATTGCCATTGGTCACACTAGTAGTATTATATATTACTATATTGTCCTGTACTGCAATATTATTGCTAATATTACAGGTAATATACAATTATGGTATTATTATATTGCATTATATTATAATACTATGATCAACATTACATGTATATACAATATATTATCTTATTAGCATAGGACAATATTAGGATGGTACATTACTATAGAAGATCTGTATAGGAAGGATAATAATATTGAGGATAGTTTTGACGGTGTGATGAATGAATTAGAACCAGA